TGGCGCGAGTGCGCTCTGCGAAAGCCCCTGAGGTTGTGGCGTGAACACATCCTCGAGAAGCACCTGGGACAGCGAACTCTGCAAGCTGACTGGAGGTTCCAGTAGTCCGGTGGCGTGGTGCTAAAAGGAAGCCCGTCTTCGGCCACCAGAGGCGCCCAAGGAGGAATCACTGCCTCTGTACGAACGGGCACGGCCGACCCTCGTGGATCACCTGTCCAGCCGCGCCACTCGGAGGACTGACTGGCCGCCTTGGCGCCAGCGGGGTCCTTGGCTTTAGCCGCTGACGCGCCTTTTGCTGCCGGGGCATCGGTTGTCCTTGTCGTCGGCGATGTCGGAACCTGCTGAGGTGTAGGGCTCTGCACGGGGCCCTTGCCTTTGCCTTTGCTCTTCACCAAGGAGCCCGGAGCCGCTAACTGGCTCGGCTTGGCCCCGAACACTGCTCCAGGACCGTCTGACGGGCAAGCTGGGCGACCTCCAAAGATTCCTCCTGTATCGGCTGCGCAGGCAGCACCATCATCGAGGTTCTCGGCCGGGTTGAACTGGGCATAGTCCAGCTCTGACGGGAGCTCGTCCACGAACTCAACTGGCTCCCCGAGTGCGCCTCTGCCGGCGCTGGTTCCTCATTGCTAACTGGTGCCTGGTCTCCATCGTCCAATGGCTCTCCCCAAGTGTGTGCTGCCTGGACCGGCACATGCTCAGCGGACCCGGCGGCGTCGGACGGGGGACTTGGCACATCAGGTAAATTGCCGAAGACCAACCAGCAGCTCAGCATCGAACGAGGCCTGGGTCCCATGTTGCTTGTAGGCCTCGAGCCCTTCGGCCACACTCTGCGCCATCAGTGCTGACAGGCGAGCCCGGTGCGCCACTCTGAACTCCTCAAGCGAGTTCATCACATCGTCCTCTGAGGCTTCGCACAGGACCTTGATTGCCATCATCACGGCCGGAATGGCACGACGTTCCTCCGCCATGGCGGCTCAGGCAATGCTAACAGGTCCTGCTAAAAAGGAAAGCTCGAGAGGCA